CTTTCGTATAAGTAGATTTTGACTTTGCATAAGAAGATTCATTTTATACCTTAGAACTGAGGATACTGAGTGAAAGTGGTAGCCGGTGCAGGAGATGCAAAGCTCACTCCTTCACTGCATGCTCAGAGGCTTACTCAGTGATATTATTCAAGCCTTCCCTTCCGAGCGGCCTGGTCTCCAATAATCTAATGTGGATCGGGCTGGCGTTGCTGCATTTGTCGATTCACGTTTACAGTTCAACATGGAGGTGGACCATCTGCCAGGCCTCCTTGAATAATGGCAGCTCCACGGTTTCTTTTAGAACAACGTCAATTACCCACGCACACGGATGACTTTTTCTTCTTGCTTGCTAGTTCCTGGACAAAAAGAGGCCAACTTGTGCGGGTTTACAATTCAATGGGACAGCTATTATGGCTTCTGGGAAGAGAGCGCCACCTTTGGTGGCCAGGACTTCTACCTCTGCACACCGTAGAGATGCAGGGATGGAAAGACAAAGTCTTCGATGGAAGAAGCTGTTGGTCTTTCAAAAGTTTGCCATGGGATCTTCAGCTTCCCTTCCCTCCCCAAAGCCATATTTTCTAACCACCGTTCCTTCTTTGAGGAGCGGTTACACACTGGGCTGCTAACCACAAGCTACCAGGTTCAAAAGCACCAGTCACTCTGAGACAGAAAGACGGGCTTTCTGCCCGTAAAGAGTTTCAGTCTCAGAAACTCACAGGGACAGCTCTACCTGTCCTACCGGTCACAGTGAGTCAGCATTGACTCAATGGCAGTGAGTTTGTTTTTGATTTATCCCTTGTTTACAGCTTTCACATTCCAACTACCAATAATTATCAAAGCATCTTGATTGCATGTTTGATCAGGTTCAGTCTGAAGAAGTTGGTAGAATTTTCCAATTTCATCATCATTGGCTTTTTTGATTGACACGTAAAATTGAATAATAGATGTACTGATTCGATTTCCTTATATGCATAGAGTATATTATAGTATCAGAGACATTATAGTTCAAGATAGATCTTGAAATGTTATTTTTGATAATGTATACCACAGCATTCCTCTTGAATTTGTCATTCCAAGCATGGTTAACCACATACTTATCCAATTCAAAATTGCCAATATCTGTCCTAAGATATTGATCTTAATGCATCCCATTTCATATTTTACTTCTAATTTTCATAGATAAACACTTTATACATTCTATATTCCAATTACAAATTGTTTGTAGTTCTTTCTCCTCATTTGTTTGCCCCATCAGCAAATGAAATTTCTGAAAGCTTTACCGCCTTCATGTCAGGATGGTTGGCTCTACTTTGAGAAGGCAGCCTTTCCTCGGTCCTATTTTGAGTGCCTGCAGACCTGGGGCACATCTTCTAGCACTATCTATCACAAAGTTCCACTACTGTTCAAAAGGTCTCAGTGCATCTTCCAACGTTATGCTGCTATTCGTACAGAATTCAGTTGCTAGTCCCTCAGACACAGACACGCTCTTCCTTCTTCAGAATCTGTTCTTAGTCTGGAAGCTGCCCTGCAACTTGTTCACCTTGGTGACCCTACTGTAATTTGAAAGACTTGTGACATAGCTGCCAGCCTCACAGCAACAGGCAAGCCACTGTAGTATGACAAACTGACAGAAAAGGGTGGGAAAGGGGTTACTTGTGTTTTACTGACTGTGCAAAGGCACTGGACTGTGTGGGTCATCATAAAATATGGATAACCATGAGAAGAATGGGAATTCCAGAATACTTCATTGTGCTTAAGAGGAACCTGCACATAAATCGACAGGCAGGCATTAGAACAGAACAAAGGAATGCTGCACAGTTTATAATCAGGGGAGGCGTGCATGGGAATTGTATCCTTTCACCCCACTTGTTCAATCTGTATGCTGAGCAAATATGCTGAGAATCTGGACTATATGAAGAACAGCATCCGGATTGGTGGAAGACTCACTTCACCCCCTGCCATAGGCAGATTACACAGCCTGCTTACATAGAGCCTTGAAGTTCTTCCTGATGAAGAACGGAGAATACGACTGTGAGCATGGATTATACCTCATTGTAACTCAAAACTCGTAGTCATCACGTCAATTCCGACTCAGAGCAACCCACGTGGGACAGAGCAGAAGTTCCCATGTGAGTTTCCGAGATTGCAAATCTTTACGGGAGTAGAAAGCCCCTCTTTCTCCCATGAAGTGGCTGGTGGTTTCAAACTACTGACTGACCCCGTGGTTAGCAGGCCAATGTATAGCCCACTATGCCACCGGGGCTCAATCAGGCTCAATGTAAAGACAACTCAGATCTTCACAAGTGGATCAATTAGTAACATAAAGGGAGAAATGATTGAAGTTGTCAAGGATTTTATTTATTTGAATCTGCAACCAATACTCATAGAAACTATCTCTGCCCCCCCCACCCCCGCCCGCCAAAGACATATAATATTGGGAAATTTTACTGCACAAGACCTCTTTAAAACATTGAAGAATAAGGATGTGACTTTGAGCACTAAGGTGGGCCTGACTCAAACCATGGTATTTTCATTCACCTCCTATGCAAATGAAAGCTGGACAACAATAAAGGAAGAGTGGAGAAGAATGAATCCATTTCAATTATGATGCTGAAGAATATTGACAGCACCATAAACCGCCAGAAAAACAAATCCGTCTTGGAGGAAGGAGAGCTAAAACGTTCCTTAGAAGGAAATGTTCCTTAGAAGGGAAAGTGGTGAGACTTCTTATGTACCTTGAACAGGTTATCAGAACAGACCCTTCACTGGAAAAGGGCATCATACTTGGCAAAGCAGAGGATCGGTGAAAAAGAACGCCCTCAAGGAGATGGATTGACACAGCGTCTGCAACAATGGGCTCAAACCTAACAATTACGAAGATGGCATAGGAGCAAGCAGTGTTTCATTCTGTTGTACGTAGGGTCTCTAAGTTGGAACTGATTTGGTAGGACCTAACAATAACATGGGCTGAATAAATGCGTGACTAGGCCTTATATCTTATTAATGAAAAAACTAAAATGATAGAGAAAAATTATAAAAGGATTGTCAATTAACTTTGCAGGTTCCTATCGGAGAAAATAGTTTGTTTGGGTTTTTTTCCTCTCTTTCTAAAATGCCATCTTAGTTAACTATTGCTTTTAGAACAGAAATACAGCTGGGCTGCTTAATTCTCTTATTAAGAGGCTAGAAGTCTGAGTTCAGGGAGCTGGCTAGAATTCGTTTTCTTCTTTGGTTCTCAAGGGAGGTCCTTGTCTCAACTTCTGCTTCCCGGTTCTTTCATGATCTCATGTAGCATGACATCTACCTTCCCTCGTTTCTACTTTCTTACTTCTTCAATCTGCTCTTTCCCATCTCGAAATATACTTGACACTTGCCCACACTAATAATTGAACAAGTAAACACATTCTCAAATGGGATTGTAACCACAAGTATCAGAGTTAAGATTGACCCTATATTTTGTGGGGACACAATTCAATCCATAAGAATTCATTCAAAGTTCTCGCTTTTTTTCTTAATGCTCTTGATAAAACGCTGGTTTTGTGGGCGATTGGAACAAGAGGACTATTTATACAAAGGTCATTTTTAAGTGTTATAGAGAAAATCCACCAAATGTGGGAGAAGAAGGAGAGACGAGGGAAACTTGAGGTTTATATGAGGGAGTTATGGAGGAGGTTCTCCCAAGAAAGGAGACTAGAAAAGATCTAAGTTACACCATGTCCACACCGAAAGTGCTTCGACCCTGCTTTGGTCTGTAATGTCTCAATTCAAGGCCAGAACCATTCCCAGAGATTTTAGAAAAATTGTAAATCCTGCCCACCTTTTAGCTATTATGACTACGAAGTTGTATTAATACTTTTAAATCATTTTATACTCTGGCCTCCATATGCCAAGCTCCGGTACATAATTGCAAACAGGAGCAAATGTGAAAGTTGTTATCAATACTGCCTTCTAGGGGAAGAAACTGAAATTCACAGGCATAATGGACTGTCCAAGATCAAAGCGGTGAAAAATAGTTCATGACAACTGGACCCTCCCTGAAACAGTAAAATGTAGCTAAGGAAGTTGTTAGGTTTCTTGGGTGGGAAATACCTAGGTTCTTGAGAAAGAATCACGCCAAAGACTGGTTTGTGATTCAAGTGCGTTTTTATAAAGGACAGATGAAGTTCCAGGCTTTACAGTTACTGAACACCGGCAACCTCGTGGGTCTGCACACCCACACGTGCCTGAGGCCGAACAGAAAGTGGAGAAGCAGCCAAGGGAAAGAAGGGGCCAGGGCTCCAGGTTCCGCTTTTGGGGCCTTCAGCTGTGAGGTGTGGTCGACCCCATTGGGCGAATTAAGCCCACCTGGCCACGTTTGGGCCAACCCAGCTGTACCGCCCACTTAGGTATACCGCCCACCTGGCCAGGTTTGGGCCCACCCAGGTGTACTGCCTGCCGCTCTAGGGCCTGAATTTGAGCACGCTCAGTCTGCGTTGGCTTCCAACCTGCTGTGGGGGCTTTTAGGCTTGCAGAGGACCAGCCCTGCTCCCCGCCTCTAAGCTGCTAAGCAAAATCATTGGCGCTGCAGAGCCTCAAAATGCTATTTGGTGCACCCAGAGTTGCCCGAGCATTTTCTTCTCCCCAGTAAGTCAGAGAAGATAAAAACCAAGACCCCCGCCATCAGTGAATTCCGACTTTCAGGGACCATATGGGGGCCTTGCAGGTTTCAAAGGCTGTCAGTCTTTACAGGAGCAGAGAGCCTCTCATTTCTTCCACTGAACGCCTCGTGGCTTAGTTACCGAGCGGGCGGCCAACTGCCACCACCGCTCTGCGCGCAAGGTTGGGGAAATCACAGGCCCGGATCGGAGAAATACAAAAGGCATCTCAGGGCACCGTGACCCCGCCTCGCCCGCCCCGAACTTCCAAGAGGGGGAAGGGGTAGAGCTCCCAGTACGGGCGACTAGAGCGCCAGCCTACTTCGATTTTTTAAGGGGCGTGAAGTAAACACAATAAAATCCTTAATGACGCGCCCCCAGCCAATGCCCCAACCGCATCCCCCGCCTCCTTCAAATTCAGGGCCCGCCCCGCCGATCCCGGCATCCTCAGCGCGAGCTCAGCGGCCGCCGTCGGCCCGCAGTTGCCATGGAAACAACGCCGCCAACGCCGCCGCCGCTATGGCCCAGCAGCAGCCTCCGGCGTCGCGGGTGTTCGTGGAACTCGTTCCCTGGGCCGACCGGGGCCGGGAGAACAG